AAGAGTAGGGTTCATTAGGGGTTGGGGGGCGAGCTGGAGCAGGTTTGGAGGGTTTCTCTGCAGTTTTCCCTGAGGTGGTGGAGAGGATTGTTACCAAAGTATGTATGTGCATCTGTTATAGACAATAGCTGTCAGTTTCTGAGTCGAGCCCGTGCAAAGTTCTCAAACTCAATGTCTCCTTTTTTTTTTTTTGAACTGAGACTGATAACGATTTGTGGTTTTCAATATTTATTGTTAGTTTATCCATGGTAAGAGAGTTCCCACCTAACACAGTTTTAATACTAAACTATTCTGGAAAGCCAGATTCCTGCTAGAACCAGATATTAGCACATTTACTGTTCCATGCAGTGTGCATGAGGTAGTACGTTTGTTTTTTAGTTTACTGCTCATAGTTCACTACATCTCAGAAAGACATATTGTACATATTGTCCATATATATAAATATATATAGTAGGAGAGTAATAGAAGTTCTCTGGTGTAAGTAACAGTAGCAATGTAGCTCTGATGTTAGCTATTGTTGCAGGAGAGTTTTCATGTAAGCACTAGAAGAAGCAGAGTTGTGATTTTTCTTTTATTAGCGGGAGAGTTGTATGAATAGCTGTAGCAGCAGGAGAGCTTTAGATGTCAGCTTTAGTATCAGAAGCTGTGTTAGTTTGAACAGTAGAAGAGTTGAGACGTTAGCTTTAGTAGCAGGCGAGTTTTCTAATTGTAGTGTTATCTGTGTATGAGGAGAGTTTTGTTATAAGCTATATCGGGTAGATATACACATTATATCCGGTCAACCCCATTCTTCAGTTAGATCAGCTTTTAATCCCATCACGGCCAGATGACATCATCGACCATCTTCTCGTCAACCTCGGGCTTCACAGTTCAATCAGCTTCTTCATTGCATACGACCAGACGACATCATCGGCTAACACCTGCACCTTAATCTGGACTCTATGAGGGGGTAGATCTTGCTGCCGCTCAGGGCAGATATCTTCAATCAGCCTATCTCCTAGTAGAGTTCAAGCGCCAAAGATTCTCTGACAATCATTCAATCTCACATCATCATGTAAAATAAATATTCATCTTTAAATCATTAAGTTGTCTCTCCTGATTGAACTGGTATCGTCCCATAGCTTACATTTAAAGGCAGGGTTGGAAATTCCCTCAGTGCTCCGTCACATAAAAAGTGAAGCCAAGCCCTGGATCTCTTTTTTTTGTCTTGATGAAGAAATATATGACAGAGGTTTTAAAATGTAGAAGAAATGAAGCAGAAAAGATTTAAAAACATATAAATGAATGTAAGTATCATAAGAGTAATAAAGCTGAATCAGAGCAGTACATTTCCCCCAGTAACCCTGCAGAAGGCTGCCCGTCTGAACATGTTCTTTGTTGGTAAAATTGTCCCTTCAGAGCCAAATATCTGTGACAAACACGCCTATTAAACAAACATGTTGTCTGAATTCAAGCAAAATTAAATTATCACCTGTAATTACTATGGAGAAGATAGGGCATGGGTGTTGTACATACCTGTCTGTTTTCCTTGCAGCCTGAGAGCAGATGCTCATGATGGGAACAGGCCTGCAGCAGAATACCACGAAGCCACACCCAACCTACATTTCCACTTAAATCATTAAACTTAAATGACTGACATTGCTCCAGGATGCATTTATGCATGAAGTGAATCTATTGAGTCATCTGTCCCAGTTTGATGCCTCTCATTCAATCGCTGTCGTTACATTATTAACCCACGATGACACTTAAGTATCGATGATTCTTGAGAAACAAACTGCTGAATTTGCCAAATTCAAACTTTAAAGATCACACAATATTTACTAGAAGACAATATTAATATTCCTCATGTACTCATTTGCTGTTCAACATAAACATTCAGGGCTTTGAATGTGCCATGTTTTTAATGTGTACAAGCAACTAATCATGAATCATTAGCAGGGTGGAGAGACAATGTGGAAGCTAAGATTGTTAGCGGCCATCAAATGCAAAGTGTGTCTAGAGCAAAGTTGACGTTAGATGATAGCAGAAGGGTTCAGGGATTCCATTAAGCCTCCACGCAGACTGTTTTCTGCAGACTGTTTTCTGAGATACTTAGCCAGCTGAAAACCAATCCAGCAATAATTGGCCTTGTATTAGAGGTAATGTGCTGGTCTTCATTACATTTCCTCTCGTTTCTCCTACACTCTGCTCATCCCGTACACACCTGGGAGAGAGAGAGAGAGAGAGAGAGAGAGAGAGCGAAAGTGTGAAATGGCATAAGGGAAAGAAGCCACATGTCGGACTCGAACCCTGGCCACCCACTTCAATAAGGAATTACTATGCTGACAGAAACCATGTCGGAGGAAATAGAAGTGTATTTTAATTTACAGTTTGACCCAGTGCATTGTGTTACCATTGGAGGTGGAGCTTATGAACTATACTACAGCCAGTTAGCATGAGGCGCTCCAATTACTTCACTTTCTGGTAGCAGCCATCTTTTTAATCCAGTCTTTAGCTGTCAGAAAACCACATACTTACTTACCGCCTGCTACATACTAAAACAGTATAAACTGATGCCAACCTGACCATTACTATATATATATATATATATATATATATATATATATATATATATATATATATATATATATGTCTTTAGCAACATACAAAACTACAGGTCACATGACTTCATCAATCATGTATCTACGGCCCAAGCTACGTTGGATATGCTAGCTTCGAACTAGCGCAACCATCATCCCATGAATATACTTACTTTCATTACTAATACAGCTGCATAGTTATATACTCTGTGTGCTGCTGCGTCTCAGTGCGCATAGATCCACTAGAGAAGATCTTTGCTCTGTAGCATAATAAGGGGAGCATTTAACCCTTTGTAGGTGCCGTCTCAGCTAATGTCTCTACAACAACATGCAACACATTTCTCTGTGTGTTTAAGAAGTGCAGGGAGAAGTGCTTTATGGAAGGAGAGCTTACTTTGATGGGGGAGAACGGAGCATGTGTCTTGTCCCAGATCCCATTGCCGGATTTGTGCCCGGCAAATTGAAATTCGTTTACATCGTTGTCAGTAACTTATTTGATTGTAAAAGAGAAAAATTAATCCAAATGTCAGACTTGTTGCTTTATCTTAATGTTGAAAAAAAAAAGTTGAATCTTCCTTCCACCGCATTTGTTAATTCTATCATTGTGACCACTAGCTATTTGGGACCATCCGGGACCCGCAGTAATTTTATTTCCGACTGCCCAGTCCAACCAGATTGGTGTTGGGTACCGCCGGACCTGTAAGACACAGCCTTTGTGTCCAAGACTACGGACAAAGAGTTTAGTGAAAAATATATAATTTTAAAAATATATAATTAGTAATCAGATCTTAAAAGGCTGTTTTGTGGTGTTCAATACTGTGACGTTATTAAGTTTTGTTCAGAGAGCTCATTAACTTTCATTAACTCATTCAGAGTCATATGAAAGGAAGTTAAATGGATATTGGGTTTGACATTCAGCAATGAATGTTGTATAATCGTTCAGTGAATGCGGGGCTTTAAGTTAAGTCTGAATACCTATTCACCGTGGATTAAGTGAACAACATGTGGCTAAATCCACATTCCTAATATCTGGTTCTATGTGACTGCACCTATAATTAAAAATAATTATTTAAAGCTTTCATTATATTATGTTAAAGATCTTAATGCGTATTATGACAAGCTTTACTCAAATGTCAGAACTACAGTATGGGTGTAATTGTAAATGAACTTGATCTTGGAAAGAGTTCTTGTAGTCTTCCAGACTTGTGGTGTGATACTGTTATGTCAAATTAAAAAAAATGTATTAAATTTTTATACATTGATCCTGATCCAGTTGCTCTGGGTTATACTTCCCTGTCGGTATATTACAGAGGATCATATTTTGGATGCGTTAACTCTGCTTTTAAGGTAATTGGTCTCATCAAACATTGCTTTGTCATTCAAAATATACTGGTTAAAGTAGATACCAAATCGTCTTTGGCCTAGCAGAGACCCTCAGGGTTTCAGGTAAAACGGTCTACAGCTGGGGCCAGAACATGCAGAAGACAAACCATCAGGATAAAGAGGGGAATATCCGGGCAAAGGCTGGAAAATATGGAATGGAGACTGAATCATTGAAGCAGAGGTTTGATCATCTTTGATCATCAGACCTATCTGGGCCTTGGCTTAAACCATCTCCAGCAGAGGTCAAATTAAACAGGATTTGAGGTCAAATGGGGTTGAGGTCATCTAACCATCTTGGGTAAAGGTGGGCCAAATCATCATATAATTGAATCGAACATATTTCAAGCTTTGAAATGAACTACAGTCTACCTGTTTCAGATGTGACCCAGTGGATCAGGGATTAAACATCAATCATTTTGGCAAATTTCCAGCATGAAATAATTTTACTGGTAATGACTTAATTCATGGTTGAAAAACTTCTCCACACTTTAAGTACAATAGTCTCTCTTAGTCTCTTAGGCTTTCATAAATCCACCATGCAAAGTGAACATTTCCAGACTTTTTCTAGGGTCTTTGCCTCTTTCTTAGTTTGAATTCCACCCTATCTTGATAAATGATGTTAACAAAAATTTGACAAACCATTCCTTAGTCTCAGTTCTTTGTCTCTGTTTACTCTAGATTATTCAGACGTCAAAGACTCTGTTTCATCAAACAAGTGGTTTAGTCTTTAAGGCACTTTGGCTCACGTGTCCCTCCACCATAACTTGCGGCCAAGTATTACCCAACCATTCCCTCATAAAAAGATGTAATAACAGATTGTGGTTATTGTGAAGAAGGTCACTCTTTGCTGCTGCTGATTGATTGGATGTGTTTTTGCATGTAGTGAGGGACCTTTAAATCTAAATGTCATCCAAGTTTGAACTCGCCTGCAGCCCTTTAATACTTTAATCTTCTGATACAAGCTGAGATCTTTCTGTGTGTTCACTAACAGGTGTATGCACTAATGATGGGTGGATTCCACATTTCTCAGGCACACCTACAGCCCATTATCCCTTCTGTTGAGTTAAACAAGGACAGGTGTCTCCTCCCAGGCTTGGCTGCATCCATCTCTCCTCCTCCTCACCAACTCCTCCAACAGTATAAAAAATCAGCCGCTCTCTGAGCTCCACAGTCTTGTCTCCTCTCCTCAGCTGAAGCAGAAAGACAGCCTCCTTTACCCTCATCTCAATATGAATTTGTACGGGAGCGCCAGATCAGGGAGGGCTGGGACCTCTCAATCCCTCTACGGAATGTCATCGGTCAGAATGTCCTCAGGTTCCTCCTATGGCGGAGTTGGCGGAGGTGGCAGAGGTGGTGGAGGTGGCTTCCAGTACCAAAGTTATTCTAGTGGTGGTGGAGGTGGAGGTGGTTCTGGGTTCTCCTTCGGTGCTGGCGGTGGCGGTGGAGGAGAGATGGACATCTCTGCCAACGAGAAGGCCTGCATGCAAAACCTGAATGACCGTCTGGCCGCCTACCTGGAGAAGGTGCGCAGTCTGGAGGCTGCCAATAGCGAACTGGAGCTGAAGATCAGACAGTTCCTGGAAAAGAAGAGCTCCCCGTCCTCCAGAGACTACAGCGCCTACTATGCCACCATTGCAGAGCTGCAGGGAAAGGTGGGTTGAATTCCGAGATGTATACAGACATTTAGTCGTGTGACCTTAACACAACAACAGCAACTGAGTTTTATCATTGAATGAAAGTTAGAAACTAACATTTTAGTTGTAGTTTATTATCATGTTTTAATTATGGTTACTTGAAATTATTAAGTTTATCAAAGCAATACCATAGATTTGCAATTATCTTCATGCTGAAAAAAAGATCGCAGAAAGCAGAGAGTATTTTTTGACTCATTCATGGGCTCCGCTAGCTTTCCATCAGTAGTATTTTTTTCATCAATACAGTTACTTTATGCAAGATAAACACAAACTGAAAGTAAATAGCATTTCTTTCCTCTTGTGTCTCTCAGATCCAGAATGCTACCAGAGACAACGGTGGTATCTACCTCTGCATCGACAATGCCAAACTGGCTGCTGATGATTTCAGGCTCAAGTGAGTGAATTCATTTGTTAATTAGAGCTAAAATTGGGGAAACTAGGGTGCGCACATCCAACCAACACGCATGCAGATGCAGGACAAGAAATGTCCTAACTTAAAAAAAAGTAAAGGATCTGCACATTGGCCAGCTCCCAGTGTCTTTACAGTGCTGACCTTTGACTGTACGGAGAGCCAGAGAATCCAAATTTCTTCAATTTCACTTAAGGTCTTCTGTCAGAGACATATTTAGCACACAGACCTGAGGGTCAATAACACAATCAAGTCCTTTAGGTCAAACGGTCATCATAGCTTTCAAGCTAATTAGCTAGCTTACAGAAATTGAGTAGACTGATCATGAGCAAGACAAGTGTTTTATCTCTTTTAGTTATAGTTTACAGACAGGAATCAATGATACTTTAATGTCAAACGGTCCAGTTAGCCATCAAGCGAATTAGCTAGCTTACAGATACTCAGTTAACTGGAATTTAGCAAAACATCTGCTTTACATTTTTCCAGTGACACTGCTTCTATGGCTGGAGACAAGAGTTCACGATTCCGATACATCTATTCTGCACTGTCCAGTTAGCTACCGAGCTAAATATCTTGTAAAATCACATAGGCAACAGCTAGCAAGCAAAAAAGAGCGGGGATAGGAGTCCATGATAGCGAACACTATCTATTTAGCTTCCAAGTTAAATAGCTTTCTCATATTTTATTAATAGTTGAAGAGAAGAGAGATTTCCCCAGAAAAACTGATTTAAACCGTTTTATTAATTTGTCCTCTTTGTAGGTACGAGAACGAGCTGGCCATGCGCCAGTCAGTGGAGGCAGATATCGCCGGGCTGAGAAGGGTCCTAGACGAACTGACAATGAGCAGGTCCGACCTGGAGATGCAGATCGAGGGTCTGAAGGAGGAGTTGATCTTCCTTAGAAAGAACCACGAGGAGGTCAGTGAATCTCTTTCATCCATTTAAGGGGTTCATATAATTCAAGTAAAAATAAATTAAAGATGTTTATGAATTAGGTTCCCACAGGCTTGGGAAATTTCTTAAAGGACCTTTCTGGTAAATACAAGTCTGGAATTCTACTTTAATTAGTCTCTCTGTTGTTTTTCTGCAGGAGCTGCTTGCCATGCGGACTCAGATGAGTGGTCAGATAAACGTGGAGGTTGACGCCCCATCAGGACCCGACCTCGCTGCGATAATGGAAGAAATCAGAGATCAATACGCAGCTAATGCCGCCAAGAGCAACAAAGATCTTGAGGCCTGGTTCCAAGCGAAGGTACGACTTCATTTTTTTTGTAGGATTTCAAATATCGAACATTTTGTACCTATCTGTAATATCTCAACAGCTGTCTGAATTGTAATAAAAATCTCTCCAGATATTTAGTGTTGTGAAGTAAAATTACCTTTAGATCTGAGAGTTTTCCTGCCAAAACAGAAATTATTTATGACAATAATATCACAACTTGACACATGTAGATCATTAAATCAGTTGGTACACTTACAGATTGTAAAAACAATGCTGTAATTTTTTCCTTCCAAACAGACAGCAGAGTTGAACCAAACTGTTGCTGTCAACACAGAAACCATGGCAACGTCCAAAACTGAGATCACAGACCTCAGGCGAATGCTGCAGAGTCTGGAGATCGAGCTGCAGTCACAGTGTAGCATGGTGAGAATCACACACACACACACACCTTTTACATGGAGTGTCTGTTATGAGTACTGAACCGGCTCCGCTCTCCTGCAGAAATCGTCACTGGAGAGCACCCTGGCTGAAACCCAAAACCGGTATGCCATGCAGCTCGCAGGTTACCAGAATCAGGTGAGCATGCTGTTTCATATTTACACTCAGACTATTGCTGCTTGTCGGATTAAACATGTAAACCTTATTTTTTCTTCTTCTGCTTTTTCTTCTTCAGGTGACGATGCTGGAGGAGCAGTTGCTGCAGCTGAAGGCCGACCTGGAGAGACAATCCCAGGAGTACCAGATGCTGCTGGACGTCAAGACCAGGCTGGAGATGGAGATCGCCGAGTACAGGAGGCTGCTGGATGGAGAGGGTGGCAGGTGAGTGATTTAAAGGGTTGTTTGTGCAACTGCAGGACATAGAATTCAAGTCAGACATAAACAAACAGTTAAAGACATACTAAATTCTTCAGGATTGTTTTTGACATGAAAAAAGATTTAGGAGTGTATGCTCGGTTTAGGAATAGAAAGTCTTTGTTGTCACATGACACTGTCCCAACTTTTGAAGCATAATTATGGCATCAAATTCAGTATGGGCATTTCATTTCCCAAACACAATGGCTTTCTCAGTTTCAAAATTTTAACATGACGTCTTTGTGCAATTTTCAATTAAATACGGGGTTTCAATGTTTCAATGAGGAAAAATAACTACATGTGATTTGGAAACATAAAGGAAAAAAAAAATCTTATATATATTATTCACTTTAATTATATTTCTGCATGTATTGATAAATAAAAACAAATGAATATTGAATGAATATTAATCTTGATAGGGTTAGGGCAAAAATTAACATTATTTATTTTTTGCTCCTTCCACTTCCACTTCTTTACTTTTGCATATTCAGCGCACTGTATCTCTCATGACGCTTAGAAAGGACAATTCTTTACTCTGAATGTGACTTGAGATGTAAAAATCTATTTCTCTTCCTCTTGCAGTTCCTCCTCCTCTCAAACCAGGTCTTCCATGACTTCCTCCAGCTCCTCTAGCAGTGTCGCTACTGCCGTCGTTGCTGCCCCCGTCAGCACCTCCATCACCAAACAGAAAGTCATCACCATCGTGGAAGAGGTAGTGGATGGTGTAGTTGTCAGCAGTAGAGAGCAAGTCCAAGTCCAAGAGATGTGAGCACCTTTGGGTGGCGCACTCACTCAGCTACCATCGAAACAAATCCACAAAATAAATGTGGGCTGAGGTGCCTTAAAAAAAAAGTTTGTGTGTTGTGTATTTTTTTAAAGTGTCCCTCTTAAGACTGCTATGTGCTGCTGTTGTACTGAAGGTTACCAAGGGCTATAACAATAGCAAAGAACTTAAAGAGTGAACAACAAAAGACATAAATGTGTCTCAAGAAAGAAAAAAAAGTGGTGAACAAAAAGGCTTATAGAGGTAAAAGGTTTTTTATCCATTAAGCTTTTCCTAACCCAGTGTTTCAGTGAGTGTTTCACATTACAGATTTCAGCACAAAGTATGACAAAAGAAAAACAACGGAATTGAACTTGTGACACTCAGAGTATTGTAGTCGTACCACAAAGCGCCACAAGGTGGTGCCTCTGTTATGTTCTGAGTTTGCGAGAAAGTGTGTCTATGACAGTCAACTCGTATGTGTGTAAGATTGTGACAGGACTCTTAACTTCAGTGATGAGATGGTGCAGGATATCTATGTTTTACTGTTCATGTATGAACGGTGCATAGAGCGCCGAGGATACCTGGCTTTGTATGCTCGATAAAGTGTAGTAGAATAATGGTGCTGAGAGGAAATCCTGCACTCTATTGTCTGTCGACTATCTGATGCTAACCAGCTATCTCAGGACTTCGGCTAATTGCTGCCTGCCCCTAGCGTCTCCTCCTGTGCCAGCCACTTTACAAACTAAAAAGAGAAAAATGTAATTTCTTTATCACTTTATGTTTAAACTGCATTAAGAAAGGTTTTTAGTAATGAAATTGAAGTGATTCTATCTAACTCTGCTCTCGACAATGTGTATAAAAAAAGGGTTAATGTTCCTCTTTATCTACCACTTGACTTTTTTAGTTTTTAAATACATATTACAAATACGCTTTATATGACTGAGTCAGAAATAAAATATATCAGGATTCAATAAGGCAAACAAAAAAGCCCTCTTTACATCCGAATGGTAAAAACAAACAGGTTGTCCACACCATAAATCATATATCATATTAGATATGTTTTAATGAAAAGCAAAGACACTGTTAGGGGGGTCGCAAGATTCCTTCCAAAAACATAGAAAAATGGAAAATGGTGTAAAATTGCATATTTCACCCCCTATTGTGTGATGTTTTAATGCTAGTGTTTGGAGTGGCCTAGTGCGTCAAAGGTGGGGTTGTTAGAACACTTTTTGACCAAAGTTTGCAGTACCATTTTAGTTTTATGTTCGAGTTTAGTTTTATACCTTTCATGGTCTGCCTCTGGTCAAAGTGGTTACTTTACAATGTGGTATAAATTAAATATCTTTAGTCTGGAAATAATTTAGTGTGTGAAAATGCATTTCTGTTATTTTCTTGGATTCTACAAGACCATTAAACTTACAAGGTAGATTTATGTTCTTCAAATATTCTGGCTTTAGAAACGTATGCACAGTTTGATCGAGTACTTTATAGCATCCTTGCATACTTTTCCCTCAAACAATATCAAAGCTGTGAAGTAACAGCTAAGTGTCGAAAGATGTGTAAAAAGCAGCATGAATGTATACAATAGCTTACTGGTCATTTCCAGTGTAATCAGGACCATACCTAACCCTAACCTATCCTTCCATTGTCTTCTGTTTTTCAGGTGTTAGGTGGCAGTGAAAGCAGGCTAAGCAAGTTGGTTCAGTTTTCTCTCCCCCGGGAGAATAGTGTGTCCAACTGTGATATATAATCCTCTCAGTGAGCTTTGGGTCTACCTCTATGGAGGATAAATTTTTTAACCCCTTGTGAGCGTAATATCATTACTTTTGTTACTTCTAAAAGCTCATGGAAAAATGTGAAGATTTGAAGTTAGATTAACTTGTAAATATAAACCTTATCCACAATATGAAGAGCATTGGTGCCTGGATGAGTAACCGTAATGTATATTTATATGCAGATGATATGATGATGATGATTTGTTGACGAGGTAACTGGAAGGTAACACCTTCAACTGTCATGTATTGTTCTGTTTTTATTATTGTTACCCCTCTTGAACATTACCCTGGCTGAGGATTCATCATTATCATCTTCATTTATTTATTTGAATCCTTGTCAAACACACTGAGGGAGAGCCCTCAATAGACCCTCGTACGTTTTGAAATAAGAGACTTTTCAAAGTCATCACATTGCTTCCTGAGTCGAGCATAACTTTCTGATCCAAATTTTAGTCACAATCGATCCAAAATATTTTGAGACGTTTCAGTCTGAGGTAAAGAGGTGGAGAAACTTTTTATTTTCATACAGACACATTACTTCCTCTTCTAAAATGACACAACAGTCCAGGTTCCTTAACTGTCCTCACAAACACAGACGACCACACACTAAGTAAACACCATTGTTAAAAAAAACTGCAGACAGTCGTAGTTAATCTTCCACTTTGTAGCAACATGAGAGGAATGCGTATTCCAGCTTTAACCAGCAGCCCTTCAACACACTCTGAATGTGTGCACTTTCAGAAGCAATAGTTGGAAGACTTCACAGTTTTAAGGTGTTCGTAAATAAACGACTATTATAAATCAAGCTTCAGAAAGCTTTCATACACAGACGGGTGCCTTGTATCCACTTAGCTAAGTGACTGGAATATAGATATGTAAATATACAGATGATGCCTCCTAGTGTCCAATGTAGGAAAGTGCATTTCTTTACAGTTAGATAGAAACCTGATACTACCTGTAGTCATGGGGGATGGGCTAATATTGTCTGATTTTTCACCATCCAGCAGTTTGGAATATGTGTTTGGAGAATTTCAAACTGATAAAGCGGATGACTATATTTCATATCAAACTGATAAATCTGACTATATGACTATTTATAATTGTTACAATATTTTAGCAGAATAACATTACTCTCTCATTACCAACAATGTGTTTAAACTAGCAACCTGTTAGCTAAGCTAAGCACCTAGAATGATAATAATGTTGGGAATTTTGACAATACTGCATCCCAATTTAAGAAAAAATTAAGCAACAGATGTTTAAAGATTTTCCAGTGGGAACAGCACAGTATACGTCAGTTTGTTATTATAGCTACAATTCCCCTCTTAAACAGTTGACAGAGAGTGCATTTTGATATGGTAAACATCCAGTGCGGACCATGGCTGGTGTCATAAAAGTGTAAGTGCAAAGTGCAAGCCTAAAACTTACTTTGAAGGCAAATATCAAACAGTCTTTTCTGGTTTTGGGATATATAATGGGTAAAAATGTAAAAACACGGGCTTTCAGTACGAGGTTAATCTCAAATAACACCAAAATGTTTTTAAAAGTTGTAAGGGACATAAGCATCTGGTGCGACTGTTGTCATGCTACTTTCAAATCGTGAATTCATGTGTACATCTAACCTTTGCACCTACCAGCCACCGGACATAAGATTCTTTCAAAAATACTAGACATTAAGAAAATAAATAGCAAAGCAGAAAGAAAATAAATCAAAAATATGTGAGTCATGATTCCAGTGTTTTTGAATATGCTGCACGTTTCTACATGTACGTCATTGCAGCCGTTGCAGAGCCTTTGCACCCCCCTGGCCACCATACTTCTGTCTATTTAATTGTACATTCAGGATCAGAGAAAGGAGTTTCACTGCTCCAGCATATACACTAAAATGTGATTCCCCCATGGAAATGTTACACCCTGTAGGCCAAACTATGTTGGCGACCCACATACTTTCTTTCAACGCTGTGTCCCTCTCCTGTTTCAACATGAAAAAAAAATTCCAAGAGAGCAAAAGTCACAACCACAACCACAATGCTCAGCTTTTATCTAACCAAAGATTTGGAAGATGTGACATTCAGTGGTGTTGAACAATAATGTGTTGCAAGTCGTAGACTGCGTCAGTGTAACACAAGGGGTTAACGACAGATCAGATACAACCTGGTCCAGTCTTGTTGGTTTTCTCGAAACATATGAGATGAGATGAGATTCAACTTTATTGTCATTACACATATACAAGTATAGAGTAACGAAATGAGGTTTGGCATCTCACCAGAAGTGCAAATAAGCAGAAAGTGCAAGAGTCTGTGCTATGTACAGTAATTACAAAATTTACAGATGTAGACTAAAAAAAGTGAATTATTAGGTATATATGGATGGCTGGATTAATGGGATGCTATAAATATAAATAAATGCTATAAATATAAGTGTATTCTTAGGATTATAATATACAGATTAAGGTGCAGTGAGCATGCTATACTAGTTTACAGATAATATAAAGAATATGGACATATTGTACAGGTCGATAACTTATTGAGGTGATATGAACATACTATAATACAATAATACAGGTGGATGAGAGATGTGTGTGTGATATGGAGGTTGAATATGAAGTATTTATGTCCCAAAGTATGCGGACGCTCCTATTGTTAAACTGAAGTGTGGTATAAGTCTGTGTCTCTGCTTTTTGGTTTTTCTTTTTGGTTTAAATGAAGGGAATCCTTTGTCACATTACACCAGCTGAAGACTTTATGACTGTGTGCTTTCTGTCCTGTATTGTCACAGCAAACAGACCCTGAATGAGGAGCTGCCACAAAGGATGTGGAGAGAGGGGAGTGTGTGGTGCAGACCTGCAGGCCTGGAAAAACACACACACACACACACACACACACACACACACACACACACACACACACACACACACTCAGAACTAAGAAACAACATACAGGTCTGGACATGAAGGGAGGAATCCAGGTGGATGTGAGACAGAGGAGGGTCGAGGGTCTTCAGGTATTTGAAATGTGCAAGAATCAGCAACAGATTAGATAAAAGAAGATTTCATCAGGTAACAGAGGAGAAGATTCAGCTGAGCAAATGGATGATTGAGTATCCAGAGAGCAGAAAAAAACAGAGGGTCTGGAGGGTAACGTTTGTATAACACTCGTATACTTTACATTCCTGCTGTGATTGGCTTGTTTGTCATGTGGCTCAACCCGCTCAAGTCGCTAGCCCTTAGGCGTGGAGCAGGGGCTGGACCCTTCACCCCTCCCTCACTTACAGTCAGTATAAAAGGAGCTGAGTCCAACCTTGCCTTTATT